AGCCCTTCTCCCCAAATATCTTGTATAAACAAACAAAAGAGAATAGATTCCATGAACGTTCATATATCACCATTTCAATTTCGAGAATGAAATGAAATAATATATTTTTTTTAAAAATTTGATTAATCCCTATAAAGTCAGAGCTGAAACTCCAACCCTTTTTTGATCGGACTGTGTGATAGAAAAAGAGAAAAAAAAATGGGCTCTGGGTGGTCAGAAGAGCAGGCTGCACAGTCGCAGCCGCCACCGCCAGCCACTGGCAGCGCCGCCAGCCACGGCGGAGCAAAGGTGGCAGAAGTGAAGCAACTGGGTCATGGGTTGGAAGCTATTCTGAAAGATGCAGACTCCGCAGTGGACAGATCCTCCATGGATAAGCTTCATGATCAACTCCATGCTGGAATCTTCTTGAACAAAAGAACAAAGGTAAATAAAATTATCATAGATATATAAACTTTAAAGAGTTTAAAATTATAAGTTTTCTCAACTTCCGAAAATAATGTCATAGATGTTTACTTTCAATTTTGTAATTTTGTTTAGTCTAATGATTACATTATCAAATGGCTGAACCAGTTTAATATCAGTCTACCACGTAATCTTTAAATTATAAAGTCAGCCTGTATAAAAATATTATTAGATCATTGATAAAATTAATGATAATGTTACGACATAATAGTGAACTATTCAACAATATTTTAAATGCAAAAGTCCTTATTTGAAAATTTTTAAAGTGGAGGGACTAAATAGATATAATTTTGAAAGAATTCAATAACCAGTTTATAATTTAACCAAAGAAAATAAACCTAATACCATATATATAAATATCATGCATGTGCTTTTTTTAGAACTGTACATTATGTAGGGTGAGATCAAAGTTTAAACCTATACCCTTTTGAGAAATGTTATTAATGCCTTAATCAGTTAAATATATTATAAGTTGTCATTTCAACGAAGTACTATCGGATTTAGAGATAGAGAGAGGAAAGAAAATCTTGTGCTACATCTAAGAGCTGTTAATTAGTTTTTATATAATTGAGTAAACGAATAAGAGAGATTTCAATACACACAACTTCACACTTTCTTCATTGTTTTGAATACAATTGCAGAAATATTGGATGGATAAGAAGTCAAACAGTAACTGTTTCATGTTATTTCCAAGAGCTCTCTCAATAACTTGGTCTGAAGAGAGCAAGTACTGGAAATGGAAAGCCATGGAAGAGTCAAGGTATGACACTCTTTAACTTTTCAGTTAAATTCGTCCGAACATAGCTCGAATAGATAAGACATTTTAAGATCATCCAAAAGGTCTATGATTCAATCTCCCATCGCTGAACTAAAAAACGAAAATCAAAATTATTTTCTTGTAGTAACCCAATTGAAGCCATAGAGCTTGTAAACGTGTGTTGGCTTGAAATCCATGGGAAGATCAAGGCATCTGAGCTCTCACCAGGAGCATGGTACGAGGCAGCATTTGTGGTGATGATCAAAGATCCAGCCTACGGATGGGATGTTCCAGTGAACATAAGGCTCAAGAGGCCAGATGGGAGCAAGCAAGAGCGCAAAGAAGACATGGAGGAGAAGCCACGAGGGCGGTGTGACTACTTTTTCTTTGCTTATTTTCTTTTGTTTTTTTGTTCTTTTTTTATTCATTTATCTCTATTTCTAGTTTTATACTATCGTTCCTTGTAACATCACATTTGATTGGTCCAACTTTTTTAAACATGTTTAGTTAGAATATGCCTATAATATTTTGACGAATATGTATATATTATGTAATTTTCATAGCGATATCACTCGGTGGAGATTTTTTAATTTTATCAAAGGTTTTTAACCTCGAAATATTGGGTGGCCGATCTATTTGGATTCTTCAAGGTAAAATCAATATCTTGAGAGGCCAAGATTTGATATTAATATGATTTTTAGTTGTTTTCTCATTTATCTTCAGTTTGGTTTAGAAAAATAATTGAAATACTCATACAAAATTGTTTGCATTTTTTTCTTTAAAAAAAGTCATATTTTGAAGCAAATAAATATCTTTTCTTTAAAAAATAAAAACATATTTCCATTCTGTAAATCTTATTGCATAAGGAAAATTATGCTGTAAAAAAAACATTTAAATGAAAAAAAAAATTATAAAGGCAATTCCTCCTAAAAAGTTGACATTTTTAAAAGCACTCAGTGAAATTTCTAAAAGTCAAAAAATTAATTTTTTTTCTAAATCTTATTTTAATATTTTCTAAAAATTTGGATTGGAGAATTCGAGAGGTCGATTCCCTGATATTGAATTTATTTTGGGAGGCCAATTTAAATTCAAAAAACAAAATTTTCTCAATGGCTTTAGGTCACTCATAATTATTGTTCATTATTTACGATCAATAAAACGTGAGACATTTAAAAATAAATATAAAATCTTTTTTAAGGTCATTTTCTTGAAAATAATATGAAAAATAAATTATCGTTCATTGACGAGGGTTATGGGGTGCTAATACATTCTCCCTACACAAACGACCCTCGAACCTAAATCTTTTTATACAGATCAGCTTGTCAATGCATTTTGGGTGGCCAATAACACCCTATAATCAAATACTTGTTGCGACTCCATTTTTCTCCTCCGTGGAAGAAAGTCGGCTGCTCCAGGTCACAAACTCGTAGCGTCAATTTTTGAAGCATTTCGAACTCACAACCTCTTAGTTGGAGATATATGTCAATTATCACGGAGCTATCCTCACTTTGGCGAGAAGTGACAATTTTTAAACAATATCTCAAATTTTATATTATTTTAAACTTAGTTGTTTTTTTTTTTTTTCATTTCCTTCGTGATCTTTTTCTTCTTCCTTTCTCCTTACTTCTCTCTTGCAGGGCGGTTTCTCTCTTTTCCTCTAATTTCCAATCCATTTTCGCAAATGAAAATCTCTCAAATCCCAAAGTAATTTCACAAATTGATCAATTAATCGAGCTCAATAATTTAGCATCAAAATCAAAAGGAAGAAATCAAATCTCATAAACCGTCGTGGAAGAAATGAGCAGGGAAGAAAAAGGTCGAAGGGGAAGAAAAAAAAAGCTACTAAGTTTAAAATAATATAAAATTTGACACTTAAAAAGTTCACTTTATCACACCGCATCGTTTCTGTGTTAGTCAACTAATGAACAATTTAATTGAAGAATTATTTTGAACAATTGTTTAAATCTCAAAGAGTTACAGAAGTGTCCCTTCTAAAACTTCAAAGACCAATTAGACACCACTCTATAGTTCGAAATATTTAGTACTTAATGCAAATACGCGTTTATCTAGAAAACGAACTAAGTGTTTCTTTTTCACTCTATGGTGAACACACTTCACTAAGTGGCCAATGTGCACGTTTAAGAATCTCTTTGCAAATCATGGCAAGTGCTCTGAAATAATCAAGGGAAAATTGATGACAGATTTTTGGTAAAATTGTTAAGGATCTCACATTGTAAAGATAATGAGACCTAACAATAGTTAATTATAATATAAATGGGATACTCTTCTCATCGTTAATTTGTTCTGAGATAGAACTCCATGAATGTTAATAGAAACAAGTGATATAAGGATACAATAAGGTTCGAGGAGGGCAAACTTCGACTCCGTGGTCCACGGTTGCATACCTCAGCCCTTGGTGAACAAGATCTTCAATGGCTGCCAACACAAAGTTGGAAGGGGCAACACCCCCAATTTTCTTACCTCGCTTTTATTAGCTTCCAACGCAAAGAAATACAACTTGTGTAATAATGGAGTGGATTCGCTTGAACACTACTCAAGCTAATCTTTTATACATGCAACGACCTACCTATTTTTAGACACTCCAAGTTTAGCTTACTTAGAGTGCACTACAAATATTTAAACAAGTGAGTGTTGGAGTATAATGTGGAGACTCCACCCTCCCTCGTAACTATAGGAATGCTAAATTTAGCATCCATGACTTTCCCACCATAAGAAACGTTCCGCCCACCAACTTGTATAAAAAACCATGCCGCTGCCTCATGTCCGCCTACACGAGCCCCAACGT